GAAACATGTATATTATCTAGGGTGAAACAGATCACCAGCCCAGGTTGGGTGCATGAGACAAGTGCTCGGGCCTGGTGCACTGGGAAGACCCAGAGGGATCGGGTGGAGAGGGAGGTGGGAGGGGGGACCGGGATGGGGAATACATGTAAATCCATGGCTAATTCATTTCAATGTATGACAAAAACTACTGTAATGATGTAAAGTAATTAGCCTCCAACTAATAAAAATAAATGGAAAAAAAAAAAAAAAAGACGGATCAGTTGAACAGAACAGAGAATGCTCATAAACAGACCCACATAAATATAGTTAACCAATCTTTACAAAGGAGCAAAGGCAACACAGTGGACCAGAAATATTCTTTTCAACAAACAGGGCTTAAATAACTGGATGACAGTGTGAAAGTGTTAGTCACTCAGTCATGTCCAGCTTTTTGTGACCCCCATGGACTGTAGCCCCCCAGGCTCCTCTGTCCATGGAATTCTCCAGGCAAGAATACTGAGTGGGTAGCCATTCCCTTCTCCAGGGGATCTTCCCAACCCAGGAATCAAACCTGGGTCTCTGGCATTGCGGACAGATTCTTTACTGTCTGAGCCACCAATAACTGGTTATTCACATGCAGGGAAAAAAAAAAGGAATGCAGACTTAAATGTAAAAGTCAAACTCCTAGAAGAAAATCTGGATGACCTTGGTTATTGCAATGGTTTTTTTCAGATATGACACCAAAGGATGATCCATGAAAGAAATAATTGATAAACTGGAATTCACTAAAGTTGAAAACTTCTGCTCTGTGATACTCAGTGTTAAGAGTGAAAGACCTGTCATAGACTAGGACAAGTCTTTGGAAAACAATTATCTGATAAAGGACTAGTAAAGAGAACAATTAAATCTCCATAAGAAAATAAAAACCTGATTAAAAATGAACCATAAAACTTGGAAGTGAGATTACGATATGCTTAGATTTAAGTGATTTTTAGAAAGAAAATTCCGGGATTGATTTGTTATTATTGAAATTCCACTAAGACAAAGTAATAGGACTTTGTTTTTGATCAGTTAAATAGACATCAGTGTCAACATATAGAATTATTTTTTCTTAAAACTTGTTCACATATTTTGATCCATTTTTCTGTGGTATTTGGTACAGTAAATGTTTTGAATTTATATTGAAAAAAATGGGGCCAAAGATCTTACAGACACCTCACTAAAGAAAGTATATAGATAGTAAAGAAGCATATGAAGAGATGCCTTCTATCATATGCCATCAAGAAACTGCAAATTAAAACAATGAGAAACACTGCACACTTAGACCAACATCTGGAACACTGACAGCATCAAATGCTGATAACATGGAACAACAGGAACTCATTCATCACTGGTGGAGATACAGAAATGACCACTTGGGAAGATGGTTTGGCAGTTTCCTACAAAACTAAACACACCATGTGATCCAGCAGTCATGCTCCTTGGTATCTACTGAAAGGAGTAAAAAACTTATGTCCACATAAAAACCTGCACGTGGAGTTTTATAGCAGTTTTATTCCTAATTGCCAAAACTTGGAATCCATCAAAATGTCCTTTAGTAGGTAAATGGATAAATAAACTGTGGTGCCTTCAGACAAGGGAATATTATTCAAGCAAAAGGAAATGAATTATCAATCCATGAAACAATGTGGAGGAAACTAAATAGAATCTTCGTAAGTGAAAGACAATCTAAAAAAGCTACATACTATGTAATTCCAACTATATGATGGTCTGGAGAAGGCAAAACTGTGAACACTAAGAGATCAAGTCTTGG